AAACAAACATCTTATGCAAAGTCTTTCTCAGGAATGAGACTCTCTAAGAAAATGTCACAAAGAGATAAAAGATCTCTTAAGATTTAAATACTCACAGGAGAATGTTGTTAGCAGCTTCTGTGGCCTCGCGTATCAAAAATCTGCCGAAAATAACGTGATTTTCTTCTTTTTTTTGCCTTCCTGATCCTGTACATGATTCTGCATGTGCATCACTTTGGCAGCAGAGGGCGCTATCTTACTACAAAATGCCAGATGTGTGACTGTTGTCAGACAGGTTGAATCATCCAGAAGCAATGTATTCTGGAGAGCTTTGCATAATTGTATTCCCAATTATATGAATTGTATAATTTATTTGATGCCTTAAGGTATCATTTTCTTGTATGCAAAGACAAATTAAGAATTTGCAACATTCACTTAACCTTTTTTTTTTTTTTTTTTTTTTTTTTTTACATACATTCTGGATTTAAACTCTGTTATTGAGAAACTTCTCACACACATAGGCCTGAAATACACACATGCACAAAAGCCCTGTTTCGACCAGAGGAACTTTCCCCCAGAACTCAGGTCTTTTGTTTTTTGTCCTGGGGTAAAAGATCTACCCCTAAAAAAAGACCCTGTAGGAGGGTTGTACTTTCTAAAGGTCCAGGGACTTCGGTGAACAGGGTGTGCAGCCCCTGCTGTGCTGAAGGTCTCTGATTGGTCAGGTACAGGACCTATGGGCATGTATTGGTGGAGAGATGTCAGAGTAGGGATGCTACACCTGACGCCTGACCTGGCACTCTCCAGCCACCAAACCACGGACCCTCGTGTTTCCCACCCAAGTCCCTACAGACTGAGCTACTCGACGCTACTGCCGCCCCTCTTAGTGCTACTTGTTCAATCTCATATCCATCAGTCCAAATTCAATCAATCACGTTTCAAAGTATTCATCATGAATGTAAAAATTTGATTTGACTTTTTTCTGTAATATGTTTAACAAATATGTTCAGGTCAGTAAATGTCTCACTGTCACCAGACTTTAGGGAAATCTGCATCACATATCCATCATCTAATACAAAATGTATCTTCTGATCTAAACACTAAAATCTCTCGATCAATGTGCAGCTCTGTGTGCATGCTGCAGAATTCAACTTACTGCACGTTGTTGATCACTTTTTATCAGGTTTCTGTGACGGAGACATCCACATCATTCTTGCTCATAAAATCACATGTTCATCTCATACTGTTTGCATTTGCCTCACCTATCTGTCCTATCTCCTCATCTCCTTACTGTTCTGTTTCCTTTTCTCGTTTGTGATCTCGTCACTTCACTTAGATCACTTAGATGTGCTGCTCCTTCCTGTTTCATCTTTTCTCCTCTTTCATCTCCTTGTCTGTCCTCTCTCTCTTTCTGCACTCTCTCCTTTCATGTCATCCTCTCTCCTTTCTGCACTCTCTCCTTTCATGTCATCATCTCTCCTTTCTGTCCTCTTTCCTTTCTGTCCTCTTATTTTTTGTTCTCGCCTTTTCTGTCCTCTCATTTCTGTAATCTCTCCTTCCTGTTTAATCTCTTCTCTCCCTTTCTGTCCCTCTCATTTCTGTCCTCTCTCCTTTTCTGTCCTCTCTCCTCTGGTTTCTGATTACCACTCTTGAGACCACAGTCATGTTTGAACTTTATGTTCTGGTTCTACGGATGTGCGGACGCCACAGGTTGTCAGGTAAGAACATGGAAATGTCAGTAATGAGTCCAGTCTGACACACACACTCTCTTTGAGATGCCACCTGTTTATTGAAGATTAGTGTTATGAGTGTGTGTGTGTGTTAGTGTGTGTGGTTTAGTCTCATGGAGGCACGGAGGCTGAAAGGATAAATAAGCAGTCCAGAGAACCGAGGTGAGGGGTGCAGCCTTCGTCTTGGCTGTGATGCTTCACTGAGGTGCAGTTTGATTGGCAGGATGGACAGGGGTCAGAGGTCAGTGATAGGTGCAGAACGGGGCATTGTTAATGCACAAGGGCTGTCCATGGAGTGATGAAATAACTGCAAAAAGTGGGTGACTTTCTGCACAGTGAAAATACTCACTCATCCAGAGACGGGATCAGTGCTGTATCTAAGTGAAAATGATCAGTAATGTCCTCTTCATTTACATTTTATTCCACCTCACTCTTCCTTTCTTTTCACAGCCAAACATTGTGCCATATGGTCCATTCTGCATAACCAGAACTTTCACTTTTGGTACTTGAAGTATTTTGGATTAAAATGTTTTTGCACATATACTGAAGTAAAATAAAGTTAAAAAGAGGACTTGTACTGGTATCATTTTTTTTTTTTTTTAAATGTTGCTCACTTATTCAAACACTGAAAGTCTTAATGCCAAACAGACTTTTACGCACTGCCCACATGGGGGCAGGAGTGTGTCGTATATCTGGAATAGAATTAGCCCAAAAAACAGGGGCCTTCATCTTTCTTGAAGCAGGATTTTTTTTGTGAAAATGTGTAATAGAAATGAAAAAGAAAAATTCGTTCTCTTCTAATTTAAAGCAAACAAAAATGATCGCATTTTAAAGAAATATATTTTTTTTAGGAAATGTTGTCTTCTTTTTTAAGAGGATCTAATAACTTTGTCAGGATGTGTTTGGGTTTCACTAAAATCCAAGGTTTGGCAAATAGATATAACAAATTACTAATTAATGACGTCATCACAGAACAAAACTAGAGCATATTAAACTTTTACAAACCTTGTTATTCCACAGCTACAGTCGCATACCTCCACCTGTGGGCTGCTGGGTCAGTGTCCCTCCTCCACACACCAGCAGACCACCTCGGTGTATGTGAGTGTGTGTGTCCCGGTGTCAGGGGGGGGTCTCTGCGGGGAATCTCACAGGTGACGCTCCGCTGCTGCTGCTGCAGCATTTGCTTCCTGATGAGAGGCCGGACAACAACACATGCAAATGACGGAACAAAGAGCCAAATGAAAACACACGAGTGAGAGTTTCACTCCTCTCACAGATGATCCCAGCTTTATCAGAGGAGAAGCAATTGATATGAAAACTGTGGAAAAGTGTCAGCAGGTACATTTACAAGATGAAGACGAAGACATGTAGCTTCATTACAGTGAAGTCTATACTTTTGGTTTGTCTCATTTAAAACTGGGTGTGTGCTTAAAAGGAAATGAAATATGTTTTTTTAAGCAGAGTGAGGGGCTTATATTTAAGATCTCCAGTTTGACACAATCCTGTTTGGAGAGAGATTTACCTCAAATACTTTCAGATTGGATTTATTTCTGACATAAAGGCTAAATAAAGCATTTAGTTTTTAAAAAATATGCATTCACGAGAGATGGGAATATTTGGTCTTAATTGTTGCAAGTGTTGTAAATTGTTTGTTTTTGTAATCTCGACATCATTGTAAATGAGGGAAACCTCAATCATTTTCGAGGTTTAGATAAAGGTTGATGATGGATTAATAGCCTTCACTAAATGTTGTTTTGAAGTTGGAGGAAACTGAACACATTTGCCGTTTGCAAAATTAAATGAACAAGCTACTGCGTCTAAACAAACTAGCTGCTAAAAAATAATGTTAAAATGGAGTTTTTAGGACAAATGCATATCTTCTGTATTTCTCTGACATTATTTTGTATGCAGAACGATACAGAGCAAACGAGAGGAAAACCTTAGTCCTAAAACATTTTTTAATAAAAAACTATTTAAAAATATATCTTAATAAAGGCCTTAAAATAATTAAAATGTTGAAACAGGAAGTAACAGGCCATAAAAGTTGTGTTGATCATAATTATAAACAAATTACACGTTAATAATTGTTGCTATTTCTAAACGGATAATTCTTGTTGTTTTATGATTTTTCTTAGTTTAATAAAATAGTAATTTAATTATTGCAGACTGGATGATAAATAAATAAATGTACATCCTCAGACAGCTGAGGTGCTTTAGGCCTGGCAGCATGCTCCCCTTAATGGCCTCCATCGTTGTCCTATTTTGAAACCATTATTTCTATCAGGCTAAAAACACACTCGTGTTGTTGTTTTTTTTTAGAATCAACACAACGCTACACAACTTTCTTGCGGCCTTTGGAGAATGTTGATGGCTCTGTTAACACTCCGTTCAGTAGAATGACATTTGGAGGTCTTCATCTTTTTAACCCCCTCCCTCCTAACACCCAGAGGACCCCCTCCTCCTCATCTCACCCACCCCGACCAAACGATCTTCATTTAACCTTTAATTAGTTTCCACACACCGCCCACCGGCGCTGTCGGGGAGCAGGAGGGAGCATCCACACTCTTTCATGTCCGCGTGTTTATTCAGAGGCTCAGCCACAGCTGATGACAGTTTCTCACACACTGACGAAGGCTCAATTTGCATTCCTAATCGCTAATACATTTGGTCTGATTGGAGGTTTAAGCATGCTAAAACGTTTAATAACTAATATGTGAAGAGTTAATATTGGAGAAGGCCTCATTATGAGTACATTCACGAGACAGGCATACACATTTAAATCTTGTAGATGGCCTTTTCAAAAACATGTTATGAGCTATATCAGAAACGCTTTTCTTTTTTACGCACAGCTTTAATATCTCGGAGATAAAGAAGGGACATCACGTAAGAAATTGTAGAGCACCTAACAACACAATCAACTCCCTCTGTAGTATTAAGAGTAGACTAACAGTTCAGTTAAATGATGCTATAAGGTGTGAATAAACAATACTAATAATACATGTCTAATAATTTGGGTCATTAAGTGAATTTGTCAGCACTGTGGGCAACACCCTATACAGCATTTTATTAACTCTATGTCTGAGCCGAGTAGAGAGGGAAGGAGAGGTGGAGGAGGAGGGGGGTGTAGTAACTTTTGTCGCCATGCAGCTTTTCCAGGTTCATTTCGTCCTCCAATTGGATGATGGAGCACACATTTGGGGAGGAGCAGCTCGAGCAGCCAAAAGGAAAGAAAAAAATGTGAAGGGTAAAAAAAAAAAAAAAAAAAACTTCCTTGCTGTGTAGACTCATGCTCGTCCAGCCTCAGCCCTCTCACTCTCCAAATGTTCACTGTGTGCGCTCTCTCCGGCTCATCTTGGCGAGCTGCGGCTTAAAGCAGACACTTCTAGACGTTAAAGAGAGGAGAGAAGCAGGAACAGAACCGGAGCACACACCGGAGTTGTGAGCGTTTCTGGGGGGAACAGTTTGGGGAGGTTTTACGCATAGCGCAGGATGCAGGCGCGCTACTCCGTCTCCAGCCCCAACTCTTTGGGAGTTGTTCCGTACATCAGCAGCGACCAAAGCTATTACCGGACCGGCGGGGGATACACCGGGATGCCTGCCCCCATGAGCATGTACTCCCACGCTGCCCACGAGCAGTACCCGGCCAGCATGGCCCGTGCGTACGGGCCGTATACGCCGCAGCACCAGCCGAAGGACATGGTGAAACCTCCGTACAGCTATATCGCCCTCATCACCATGGCCATCCAGAACTCCCCGGAGAAGAAGATCACCCTGAACGGGATTTATCAGTTCATCATGGAGAGGTTTCCCTTCTACCGGGACAACAAGCAGGGCTGGCAGAACAGCATCAGGCACAATCTGTCCCTCAACGAGTGTTTCGTGAAAGTGCCCCGGGACGACAAGAAGCCCGGGAAGGGCAGCTACTGGACCCTGGACCCGGACTCCTACAACATGTTTGAGAACGGTAGCTTTCTACGGCGCCGGAGGAGGTTCAAAAAGAAGGACGTTCAGAGAGACAAGGACGACAGGCAGAGTAAGGACCCCTCTGCCCGCACCCCGGGAAGGGAGCAGGACCCACCGGGACAGGGCTCCCAGCCAGTACGGGTCCAGGATATAAAGACTGAGAATGGGACTGCAACGCCTCCGCAGGCCGCTTCTCCAACTCTGAGCACCGTGCCAAAGATCGAGAGCCCGGACAGCAGCAGCAGCATGTCCACAGGCAGCCCGCACAGCGTGCCCTCCACCCGCTCACTCAGCATGGACGGACCCGAGCAGCACCACCACGGCCAGGCCGCGGCGCAGGGCTTCAGCGTGGATAACATCATGACCACCCTGCGGGGGTCTCCGCAGGCCGAGCTCTCCCCGCCTCTCATCGCCTCCTCGCGGACAGGTATCACCCCCTCACTGTCGCTCAACTACTCACCCAACCAGACCTCCGCGTACAACTCCACCACCTGCAACCAGAATGTCATCTCCACGAACTCCAGTGCCACCTATCACTGCAACATGCAGGCCATGAGCCTGTACGCGGGGGACAGGTCCTCCGGGGGACACCTGGCGCCGTCCACCACCGTGGAGGAGGCTCTGCCCGACTATTGCATCACCACGACCACCGCGTCCCCACTCGGACACGGAAACCTGAGCCAGGCGGGCCAGGACGGCCACCACGGGCACCAGGGACGGCTCGCGTCTTGGTACGGGGACCTGAGCCACCTGAGCCCAGGTTACCCGGCGCAGCAGCAGAACTTCCACTCAGTGCGGGAGATGTTCGAGTCTCAGCGGATCGGGCTGAACGGCTCCCCGGTGAACGGGAATAGCAGCTGTCAGATGGCCTTCCCGTCCGGTCAGTCCCTGTACAGAACCTCAGGAGCGTTTGTTTATGACTGCAGCAAGTTCTGAGAGCCGCGGCGCCTTTAAATTAATAACTCTAATATATGTTTTATATTTTTTTGTACTTTTGGTCTTTTATTCTCACTCCGAATGGACATAAAGAGATTCAGACTTTTTTTTTCTGTCGAGGCGTTTGTAACACCACAAACACGTAAGTTTTCTTCCTCCTCTCACTTTGAGACTTGTTTATAAAGATGCTCAGATACCAGCTTCTGTGACTATAGACTGTAAATTATAGCCTAATATAGTAATTTATTTTGTAGAGAAAGGGAGTGGTTGGATGTTGAGGACCAAACACTTTAAAGTTTTCCCAGTTTTCTTATCGCTGCCTTTATTCCTCCCCCTTCTTGTATAGAAATAGAAAGGGGGCCGTGTAGTCTGTTACTGACTTATTTTATTCTTTTTTTTTTTTTTGTCTTATTTGTTAAATAAGTATTTTTGAAGGCATTACATTTTGTTTGTTTAATAAAGTGCCGTTTATTTGATCCTAATTGGAGTGATTTATTAGCAGTGGTAATGCTAAGGGGGAGCGTTTGAAGATCAAAAAAACAGGTAGATGTTCAAGCATGTGGGGTGAAAAATATTTTACATTATTTATTAAATGAACAAAAAAAAGGTGGCCACTGACAACTCTGGAAAATATGCAAAAAAAACAACAACAAAAACATCAATTTTTGGTGCATTTGCTTCTTTCAGTGAACCCAACAAGACCGTGCGTTATTTTAAAATGTAAGATGTTAAATTATTCAAATGATTCTATAAAACATAATTCTATAACATCTATTATTTTAGGTTCATGTGGCCTGTTTGGTTTTAGAGGGAATCTTTTATCTAAAGCTATCAGAGGTTTGGAGGCCTTTCTGTGCGCTGCAGGGGCAAATCACAACCGAGGCTTTACTTTAATATCAAACTGTGAGAGGGGGAAATGTTGACTCTCAAAACAGAATCTTCTGCAGGTTTTAATATGTTCAACATTCAGGTGTAAATGCAGGTAAATAAACACACGCGTGGCAGCAGCTCAGCAGTGCGGTTAGAACTCAGCAAAAACAACAACACATCACTCCGTGCAGACCGAGCAGCTGTGTGTGTGTGTTTGTGTGTGTGTGTGTGTGTGTGTGTGTGTGTGTGCAGACAAAGCTGCAGCTGCATTGATTTGGGAGGCCTTCTGAGAACTGTTTTGCTGCACGAGCACACAAGCAAAGGGTCTCTGACGCGTGATGAGGACGCTGTGAGTGACTGACGCGATGTCAAGTAGAAGTGCAGACCGTTTTGCATTTTATGTCCTGCAGGCTTGAAAATAACCTCAGCTCTGTGGCCTGCTCAGACTGACTGAACTGTCGCTGCTGTCACATGTTTATTTAGTTTATTTATTCTTAAACCGCCATGATGGAGAGGATCAACACCCCACTCCTTCTTAAGAAGAAATATTAGGAAGGAGGAACATTTTCATGGAGAGAATGTTTTTATGTCTTTTTACATCTTTGTTTCCTTAAAAATCAATTTAAGTATTTTCAGGCAGATCCACATGGCAGAATGCAATTTTCTTTCAGATTATTAAGATTAGAGTTTTATTAAATCTCCCATATGTATTATATAATACATAAAAGTAATTATATAATGGAGAAAACCTTAATGTCTACAATAGTAGGGGCCCTACAAAAGTAAATAGGTGACGTAGCCGAAATGAAATTAGCAAAATTATATTTTTAATAATAATAATATTCATAATCATTGAAAATGGCCATGTACCCTTCAGCGTCTTCACAGTAGCCTACGCGCTGGGAATTAAAAAGTGACAGTAACCCTCCTACGTCAGTTTTTGACGCAATATGGAATTGATTCAGTGTCGTTCTTTGAAGACAAGCGTCGACACAGCCTGCATTTCTTTAAGTATGTTGCTGTGTGTTTTTGTGTTTTGATGTGCATTTTAGCTCTTGGCGCGTCTAAATCTGTGACCTCTGCTGCTGCTGCTGTGTGTGTGTGTGTGTGTGTGTGTGTGTGTGTGTGTGTGTGTGTGTGTGTGTGTGTGGGGGGGGGGGGGCTTTGCAGGCGGTGAAAGTTTAAACGTGACCGTCAGTCACGGCCTGTCTGCGTGGATGAGATTTTAATGAGTCAGTGAGACAAAAAATTCCGGCTCACAAACGCTCCCTCGGGGCCACCACCAGTCAAATGAGTCAACCCCATAAAACTGACGTTGTACAACGAGCTCGCACCTTCCACAGGGTGCTCAACAGCACCAAATACACTTTACGCACTTATTACGCACAGAAAGCTGCCTATAATACCATTAAAACGTGGATTAGTGCTTGTAAACAAACGTCTGTGTGATTGATGCAGCACTTCAGGGTCAGGAAGGGAAAATCCTGACGCGGCTGTGAATCATTTTTCATCATAAGGACAAGACAGCAGGAGGTGATGGAGGTCAATGAGAGGATGTCAACAATGCACTTTAGGAAAGCACGCCGAGAAGGCTGTATTCAAACCTGTCGCTGCCTTTTCAGAAGCAGCTCCACAGGGCTGCAGGGCGCGGGGTTTGGGCCGCTGCATGGCTCGTGGTTGTGAGAGTTCATGGAGGTGCAGAGTAAAAACAAAAAGAGCCCCAGAGGAGGCCTCTTCACAATGGAAACGCTGCCAGTGCGCATAACACGCGCATTCAAATGGAATCATTAAGGAATTATTAGGTCATTATTGGGTTATTGTGTCAGAGGTATTTTAATGTTCAGTTCAGTGAACATCAGTGTAAAAACACGCAGAGCCTGAAGGCATCACACACGTCTTTTGTCACAGCGTGATGAGCTTTACAAGGACGAGTGTGTGTTCATATGAGAGCAGAGCAACCTGATAGCTCTTATCTCATGTACTGAATGTTTGGCACGGATTTAGAGGAAACATAGGCTGAAGAGCACGAGCACCTGAACGCATTGGGGAAGATCAGTGCATTCACACACAGGAGCCCCTTATTTACTTATAGATATAAACTCCGAGGCGAAGCTGAATGATGCGTATAGTTTTTATTCATTCAATTTTTTTTGCAGCTATCATCAAAACGTGAATCAAACATCCATGCATGGATATTTTTGATTTATTTGCTGCTGATATTTAAGTACTTTATGAGGCTCTGTAATTCTGCTTGTATGCCGTAAGCATTTAGGGTGAAATGTGTAGTATATTTAAGAGCCATTCAAAAGGGAGATTTAAGCAGTGTAACATTAAACACTGAAAACCAGAGGAAAGAGTTTCACTTTAAATACAGAACATATGTGGCCTTATTTTAAGATTCTTCTCCTGCTTCCCTCTAACACTCTTTAGCGTGTGTGTGTGTGTGTGTGTGTGTGTGTGTGTGTGTGTGTGTGTGTGTGTGTGTGTGTGTGTGTGTGTGTGTGTGTCGCTCTGCATTAACAAAGTTCTGTCTTCTTCGTTTGTTGGATTTTAGGGATTCACATGCACTCACTGAGTTTAATACCAAACACGTTTAAACCAATAACAGCCTTTAAAAAAAAATCGAAATAAAAGGTGAAATATTCTGCAGTTTATTTTTTTGGTGCGACACTGACAGTTTAAATCTGGATGGATTTAAAATTAAATCGTTTAATTAAACACTAAACGTTAATCTAATTGCATTTAATCTGTATTTTGTACTTTATTACGTCACGGCTAGATTGTCGATTTCTTCTGCGTCCCTATTTTATAACCTCTTAACAAGTCACCTTTAACAATCCGTATCTTTAATTTAACATATTTAGAGATTAAGGCCTTCAGTATAAAATAATGAAGCCATCAGTGAGTGTTGCGCGCAGGTCTTAATATTAAAACGACATTATTATACAACACTAAACCGGATTAAAAAGTGGGTTTAGTCTCATCAGATATTTTTCTTATAATATTGAGATCATTGCTTTTGCAGTTAGAAGTCCTAATGTGTTCATAATGTGTTTCTCTGTGTGGAAGCTGCAGCTTTTCTTCTTCTGCATCTTTCATTTGATATATTTTTTCACGGTAACTTTTCATTCTGCATTAGATTTGACAGGGGAAAAAAAAAAACTAAATCTTTTTTTTAAATCTTACAAGGACTTCTGGAGTCTGTGGCCGCCTCGTGAGTTTAAATTGACCGTCTTAACTGCGTAATCTCCTTAAGATGTTTGTTTAGCTGCATGTGAAGGGTTTCATTTCTTTCTATCCGAGCTCCAAATCCACATCAGCTCTCCTTTCTTTGAGCGCCAGCAGTAAACTGATCACCTGACGTGTCTAATTGTTTTGGGGGGGGTGGAGGGGGGACGGGGGGGCTCTGGTGGACTCGGTGCACCTGTGAGGCTCCCCGTGTGTTTTCAGAGGCATAAACAGCCTTTTTAGAGACACATCTGGTTCTGATGGAGCAGCGCGATCACAGACAGCCTCTAATGTCCTGAAGGTGTTGTCCCAAACAACACGCAGAGGATCCCACCCTGCTCACCGCGCTCACTGAGCCCTGCAGGCCTCCGTACGAACTCAAACTCGAACCTCTCGACCCCGAAATAAAACCAGAGAGGTTGAGTAACTGAGTATTTCTTTTTACTGAAGTTCTTCCTCTCCCCTGAAGAGTCTCCAAAATGTTTTCATGCTTTAATCTTCAAATTAGGACTTGTCACGTTGACGCAGTTTTTTGACTCTTTTTTTAAACTTCAAAGATTTAGAATTTAAAATAAAGGCATGAGCAAATATATCAAATATGATGTTTTTCTTTAGGAGCCAATCCGCTGCCAGCTAATCAGACATTAAACTAAAATAAAGCTGCAATAATCAGCTATAATAATAATACCTCTAAAAAAAGATTGTATCATTTTGAAGCTCTGGTGCTTTGATTTTTTTTGGGGAGTATTTTGCTGTAAGTATATCTTTAAAAAAAACAAAAAACCTTTGCATTAAGAACGGGTTCTTTAGTGTTCATCAATTTCAACAAGATGTTAATTATTATTACAGGATTTATGTGCAAAAGAAGTGAAAACAAATGTTTAAATATTAGTGAAGATTAAAACCCCTGTAGTGTGGGACTGGAAGTTATTTCACAATATAAAAGAAGAAATCTAAAACCTTCATCAGGACCAGAGCAGCTCCTGGTCTGCAGGCTCCACACTCTCACCGCCGCGCGCTTTAAAACCTGCAGCCAGTCTGCAGACAATCAGGCATTTAAGAGTAGGGACTGTGGGACTCCGGGCCGGGGGAAAAACGTACTTCCTGTCCGGATAAAAGAACGCAGTGTGCTCGCAAATTAAAAAAAAAAAAAAACCCAGGAAAGCTGAAGAGAGGCCGAGGGGGAGAGAAAGAGAGAGACAGAGAGAGAGAGAGAGAGACAACAGGAGCCGACCTCTGTGCAACCTGGGCAAACCTGTGCGTGCACACACATGCAGGAACAGACCCACAGTGACAGTCACAGTAACAAACCTGCATTCAAACCTGGATGAGGACTTTCTGCTGCTTCATTTTTCACGTCCTCATTTGCAAACCTAAAAGAAAAAAATGATGCAAATCATGCTCACAAGCCCAAAAATAAACAAACTATTTACAGCCCTCATTTTCAGCATCAGGAAACATTAAAAACAGGAGGACAGCTCGGTCAAAGCTCAGCCTTTATTGTACCAATTCATTTGTACGTTGATACCCGCTCATTTCTATTTTCAATAAAAGATAAAAAGCTCCCTCCTCCTTTTGTTATTTTTAAAATTCTATGCAAGAAGGAATGTCATCTCAGAAATCTAAAATTAGTTCAGCTGCAATCAAAACAAACAGAAACATAAATAAACCCTTTAAATGTTCCACTTCTATAAATTAAAATGTGATCAAAGCTCAAATTAAACAAAGGCAGACCTGCGTATGAAATACAATGAAAATGTCATGATGCTAGAAATACACACACACACACACACACAAGACTCAAAGGCAACCAAAAGACACGGTTACTTCATGTTTTGTAAAAAGTCATAAAAATATAACACGGTCCCTCCACTGTCGCTCTCAATGGTTAAAAAAAAAAAAAGGAGTGTTTGAAAGTGTGTTGACGGAGAGGACGGCTGGGTGGACTCAGGCATTCGGGTTTTTCTTCATCAGCTCGACGTCAGCGTCCACCATCTCCTTCACCAGCTCCTGCAGAGACACACACAGAGGTCAGAGGTCAACAGTACATCTTAGAAATGAAGGGCAACTTGTATCTTTACTGAAAATGATTTTAAAAGTCATGAATCCCTGTGTGAAAGACGAGGGAAGCTGCGAGTTGGGATTCAAAGTTTTCCTCTTTTATTGTCTCTATTGCAGCTTTGGGTACACTTCCTTTTTATTTATGAGGAAGCCACAAAAAAAACACTTTATACTCATTTAAAAAATCTAATAAATCTATTATAATAAAGAGCATAAGATTGAGGAAATAACAGCCTTCCCAGAGAATTTTATCTTGAGTGCATTCCCCATAAATCTTGGATTCATATTTGAACTTTTGCACATTAAGAACAACGTTTTAATGAATAGAAGTAAATTAAAAACAAACAGGAAATACAACGAGACGGATCAGCAGACAGGGTTAATATGAACAGGTCATATTTAATTCTGCTGGATATTTGAGGGACAGATGAGTATTTTCTGTATTGTGTGCATATTGTGCAGTAACACCTTAGTAAGTATATTTCAGTCATTGTTATGTCTTTTTTTTTGTACATATCATTTATTGACTTTCAGTATAAATACATGAGGGAACGAAGGATAATGAAGGCAAGATTTTTAAACCAAAAAAGCTTTTGAGTAGAGACCTCAACTTATTTGAGATAACATTAAAGTACAAAAAGACAGAGAGAGGAAGAGAGAGAGAGAGAGAGACAGACAGAGAGAGGGAGAGTCTTCTGTTTCTTTATCATTCAGCTACTTCACGATTTAACTGAATACTCTGCTGAAAACTTTAACAAGTTTCATGTCCATACAAAGATCTTGGGCTTTCTCATTTTAGACCAGTGGTTCCCAAAGTAAATAATAAATAATATTACAGTGTTTCGGCTGTGCCCACCTCCAGGGACAGTGGGGGTCCCAAGTCTCTTGGGGGTTCGCGGGCTGAAAAGTTTAGGAACCTTTTTTTTTGACTTGATGACTTGATAACTCCTGCCTTCAGATTAAATTAAAAATTAAATTAATTTTCATAAAACATGCTTCACTTTGGCTTCAGTGTAGAACCCCAGTTGTTGCATTAACAGTAAACCCAAAGCGTCAAACAATACACGACCCATCAGTCACTACAAATGACCATAACATGCTTTTATTTTGAAATTAAAGAAATAGGATGTTATTGCAAACACATTGTCTGGACAGTCAGTTCTGAGGTGAAGCATCATCAGTTGAACGGTTGACAGCACTGAACATTAGTTTGAGTACTTTGGTATATCTGTCATTGCATACCTTTCTCATATCTGGAAAAATGAAAAGAAGAATCTTTTGCTTTTGTTCTATTTTTCAGAATGACACGCCTTCTTTTCTTTTAAATTCTGAAGACATTTGACTTTGTTCCCATGAAGCATGAAGCAGGTTCCTGTCAGGCTAACGTCAGACGCTCTGAGACGTCAGAGCAGGGCTGCAGGATTACAAACTGCTCTTTTAATTTTTGCCGTCAATGCATCTTATGTTGTTTACATTTATGTTAGACTCTTTAAAAAACATTGACTTTCTCCACCACACAACCCGCAAACAGGTCATATAGCAAGGTCACGTCCCAGTTCTTCACCATTTTCTTTGAGTTTTGTTTCCTGCATTATCAAGTTGCTGTAGTTTGTTTTTCTTTCAAAAAAAAAAAATCATTCCATGTCTGTACTTGTGTGGCTAAATATAAAAACCTGCTTCAACCAGACCCTCCAGGTGTGAGACACGTACCTCAAAGGTCACCCGTGGCTTCCAACCCAACCTCTGATTCGCTTTGGTGCTGTCGCCTTGCAGGTAGTCCTGTTAAAAAAAGGAAGAGAGAGCGAGGGAGAGGGAGAGAGAGAGAGAGGGATAGAGAGAGAGAGAGGGAGGGAGGGAGAGGGGGAGGAAAGAAAAACAAATCATCTGTCATGTCTGATCTGATGCGTCGTCCTTATATAGAGACATTCTGGATTCAACTTAGGTCCAAACTTGACGTCTTCAACAGGACGTGAGGGACGGAGGGTGATGATTACTCTCTCTCTCACACACACACCTACACACACCTACACACACACACACACACGCACACTATCTCCTCTCTCGGGGAAAGAGGGAGGTCACAGAGTCTCGCTGGCCATCAATCCCCCCTCTCGGCTCCCCACCACCGATCTGTCCAGACAGCCCCTGTCGGAGCCAGAGGATGATGAATTGTGGGACTCTGGCGGTGTAACCCCCCCTTCAGCCGGGGACCCCCCAACTCAACCCACACACCCCCTTCAACCCCGTACTAATTTCCCCCCCTGTTGTGTTTTGCACCGGGTTCAAGATCCAGCGAGACCCTGCTGAAGACCACCAAAGAGTCAGGGGAGGAAAAAAAAAAAAAAAAAAACCTTCTTAAAGCTTTCTTTCTCTTTCCCTTCGTTTTTTCTTCTGTGGTTTCTTTTTTCCTTCTTTCACTCGTTCTTTCACTTCTATTTCCATCTCAAATCTTGTTTTTTCACATCTCGCAGACATCAATCATGTAATTTTATATCAGAAAAACACATGAAAGACCTCCAGAGGTCTAATAAAATGTTCTGGTGAAACCTGACACTGAGGAATCTCCATTTTCTTTTCCAATTAAATGACTCTTTATGTTCCTTCTTCATGCAGCTAATAACACCATTCTGCCTTAATCCAGCTTTTAAAAAAAATCTGTAACACAGTCATGGTTTTGATTTTTGACTGAAAAGTGAGTGCTGGTCTTCCCCTTCCTCTCTTTGTCGTTCACCCTCCACATGGAGATTAAAATGATAACTCAAGTATGTGGACACCATGTGGGATTTCTCCTCATTTCACTCTAAAACCGCGGCCATCACTTTCTGCTATTACAGCCTTCTCTGTTTTCTGTTCAGATTTTTACACAAAATCTTGGAATCTAGATTCACAAATCCGCTTCAATTCAGCCACAAGTGCCTTCATGTTGATTTATAATGTGCGCTGAGGGGTCAGAGTGTAGCAACAGAGCCTGGAGTGTAGATATTATGTAGCTGATCCCCCCCCCCCCCCCCCCTCCTGAAAACTCATTCTCTCTCCTCTGCACTTCAGACAAATCCACAAGGTAGCAGCTTTACTCTTATACCTCTGTTTGCCAGAAAACCTTTCAGGTGCTTAGTTAACGTTGTGAAATGGAGGCAGTTTTGGTTACATTTGGACAACGAAGCCTTTTGATTGACTTGAAGGAAAAGATTGAGGTTTGGTTTTAAATAATTAATCAGAACTCGAGTTTTGGTTTCCCTCAAGAGACCAATGGCATTTTTTGGATTTGGTGAAAGTCCTGCATTTGGGGGAGGGGGGCGCCAGTAGCCCTGTTACTGCACACCACCTGGACAGAGGCTAAAGTCCACAAGAGCGGGCGGCCTGGGTTTGAATCCAACCTGTGACTCCTTTCCCACATGGCTTTCAGCGGTCTTTCTCTCTCCCCGATTTCTGACCCCATCCACTGTCCTATCTCTATAATAATAAAATAAAGGAATATAAGAGTTCTACATTTGTCAAGACTTCCTCTCTTTACAGACTTTGTTGCTCTTAATTCTTCGTCATCCGCGCTCACAGGTGCTGCACAGGTGGAGCAGTGCCTCATAATGTCTCATACTGCAGTCATTCAGTGTCATTTAAAGACTTTATTGTTGACAAACTTTGACCTGCTGAATGAGGAAAAAGTCGGGCAATGGCATCTTCAGAGATACCGTATGAACTGGGTTTTCTCCTTGCTAACTTTCTGACGAGAAACATTACGCTGGGGACATTCAGAAAAGTCACCACTGCTTTTAGTGACGTAGTAGAAAATCCGACAATGTCTCCTCGGGGTGACGGTCGGGGGAAAGGGACGAGCCAAATAACACAAGGCCTTCACCGAGCAGAGAGGGGTTTGAGTCCCGTGTTGGGTTATTTCTTAACCAAGCCCATGATGTTTTCCTCCAGCCTCAGACATGTTGCTCTCCAGCCTCAACCTCACCACATAGACCGATTGACGTCCACCCCACGTTAGACAGAAAACAAACGCCACCCTGTGGGTCTGTATGAGATGCCAAAGAGATGTGATTTTGATGTGATTTTTTTTTTTTTTTTGCACATGCTCCTGAAAGGTTCTAGAAAAGTTCAGGACAGCCTGAAATCTTGTCTGTCCACACATGAACATCACAGAGGGAGACCCTGTCGGATGGGCGGGGGTGTCTCAGAAATGGCGGACGACGCAACGGAGTCGGACATTATACTGACAGTTTTTTTTTCTCTTTTTATATATCAATGATATGTTTGATTGGGTGCATTCAAAGTACAACAAGTAAGTGGTATGGAGCTCCTTCATTTTTTCAAATTCCAATTTTATTTCTGGACTTTTTGAGCCTTTAGTTAAAGATATGATGGTGGATAGACTCGAACCCGGGCCTCCATCGCCGCCTGGAGGACTTCTGTCTCAGAACAGGGGGCGCACACTAATCCCTACTAGGCTACCAGCACCTTCATTACTTGCATGATTATCGAGCTGCTCGCTCACCAGTCTCGTGATATAAAACTCATCAACCCGTTCCGTTCACTAGCTGTCAATTTTCCTGAACATTTCCTGCTGCTTTCTCACATCTGCTCACCCCGACCTCATGTGGAAACTTCACTTGGCGACCGGCAGGAAAACTTCGAGTTGAGTCGGGGGGGGGGAACAGATCAACCAGAATATTCCAGTAAATTCTCAGGAGTTTTTGTGTTTGTGTGAAAACACTAAAAATGGAAGCACATAAATCTCCTAAATACTGGATGACTGAATCTCTGCTTCTCCTAAACCATCAGAGAACATTTAGAATGTATAAAGTTATAAATATATTTGTAAAAAGGTAAAGCAAAAGTTTCTATGGATAAACTTCATAAAATGGTCTTTTCAGAGTAATATTGTTACAAAGGCACGCTCACAGAGGCATCGGCTCAGGTCAGAGAGTGAGGACCAACATCTGAGCGACACTCCTCACCGCTTAATCACGCTGCTCTGATTACACACAAAACACACACACACACTGAACACACACACAGTGAACACACACAGGCTGAGTCAGTGTGCGCCAGCGCTCACCTGGAACTGAACCACGATTTCAAACTGAGCAGCCTTCTTTTCTTTTCTTTTTTACCTCTGCTGGTGAACACACGGGCCCGGCAGATGAAAGCTCGGGCCCATTTTCTCCTCCGTCTGAAACAGCAGGACAAACGGCTCTTTCTCGTGTGAGCCGCTCTCCACATTACTCACGTCCTTTTCTGGCTCTGAAGCCATAAATGGAAACATTTTCAGACTAATTACCTACAGCAACGAGACTTCATTTATCACAGGCTGAATGTAATTATCACAGGGTGACTTACTGCACAATTACATTAATAATCCACTTGCTTCATAATTATATTGATTAGAGTTTGTAATGGGGAACATTTTACAGTCGGCATTAAAGAAACATCAAACGGCCTCTTCAGGAACAATGAAGAAACTCTGAAGTCAGGTGTTACAGACAATACTGTTTTTTTTATGACCTCTAGTTTCTATATCCCTTGTTGATTGGCTGATTAATGCTTAGAGGGCGGGTCTTATCTGATAAGAGCCTGTCAGAGGCCGCTGCCAAAAGAACCAGCGTGGACAGAAGGTCCAGCATGTAGCGGGAGAAATGAAGTAGCCTTTTGTTTCATCTCAGTCTGAATGCATTCAATGAAAATCTGAGAACAGATGTAGTACTTCACTGAGGATATGGCAAAGGACAAATGGATATTTGAAGTTGAGAAGACGGTTGCTTATTGAGGCACGTCAAACAACCTCACAGGTGAAAGTTTAACTTTTGAATAGCTCAGTACAAATGGAGCTGTCGTGATACATCTTCACTTTGGGGATAAAGAAATCTTTACTTCAGCTGTCTCTCATCGTCATAATGTTGATGCGGTTTTTGATAAAGCTTCCAAGGACCAAGCTGCTAAATAATTATTTCTAACCCACCTTGGATATTAACTTTTCACCTCGACTTGGGTCATCAAGGTACAGAACTGCTTTGCTTCACAGTAATGAAAGTATTTTCTTCCTTTTTTCTGATGTATTTTTGGGCTTTATGCCCTTTGTTTTGGAGAGAACAGCAGATAGAGTAGGATGTCGGGAGAGTGGAATGACATGAGGGGAAGGAGCCACTGGTACTGTATGACTCGAGCCCAGGCCGTCTCCTTTTAGGACTACAGCCTCCGTCGTTGGGACACAACCTCACCGCTAGGCCGACATATGTTTAATGATCACGATATGAGTTGCCAAAATTGTTCCAGAAAAGCGTGTCAGGTGTCAAAAAGTGGTTTAGTTTGGCTGCATCAGTCCCTGAGTAAACTGTGAATCACTGTCCAATGAGTCTAAAACCTGCAGCAACAAGAGGAGCAGTCAACCTGATAATCCCAGCATCACCAGCAGCCTGAAAACACCTGCTAAAAAAACAGGTAAGATAAGCAAAGAAACATGGTGATTGTGCAAAAACAACCAATATAACCAGTCCTGTGTTGGACCCATGACATCACATGCTCAGGGCCAGTTTCCAGTTTCAGAATGACTAAAGTTAAATGCAACAGCACCTTTTTCTTCTGAATTTTGTACCAAAACTCTGGAAATGCACTTTCAGCAATGACCAAATTCTGAAACAGGAAGTAAGCAGGGTTGTTTCTTCTATTACCATAATCTGTGTTGTGATCATTGTCATGCATGGTCCTTGAAAATCTCCATCGGAGCTTGGCAGCAGAACATCTGTTGAAATCAGACGCTTGTCTGCTAAGACGGCAGA